CCCCGGGCGCCCCCCGCCCCCGCGCCCCGGGCTCCACCTCGCTGCCGAAGGCCAGCTTGGCGGCGGCGGCGGCCAGCGCCCCGAACACGCCAGCGCACAGGCAGTTGAACACGCCCCAGAAGCGGCGCCGCATCGCGCCGGCCTGGAGGCGCGGGGGGACCGCGGCCGGCGTGTCGGGGTAGGCGGTGGCCGTCACGGCGCAGCCCAAAGGCAGCGGACATGCCGCCATGGTGCTGGCTGTCGCGGAGGACGCGGTGCTCACGTGAGGTGGCGCCCACGTGACGCGAGGCCGCAGGGTGGGCGGGGCAACTTGTGGGCGGAGCTCTGGGCCTCGGGCGGGCAGTGGGCGGGGAGAGGGGAGGGGCCTGAGCTGGTGCCGCCCCACCTCGGCTTCCGGAATTGGGGCCCGCCCAGACCCGTTGGACGCGTCTACACCGCGCCTTTAGGCGGAGAATGGAGACGCGCTTCGGCAGGGGGCGCTAGAGACCTCCGGACCCAGGAGGCTCCTGAAGGGTCCGCGCTGATTACAGGAAACCCAGAAGCTGTGAGAAGCAGTCACCCACCACCTCTCTTCCCTTGTGCACTTGTGCGCGTTTAAGTTACCGTAGAAAGTGCACTTCGTGGAGCAGAGTGTCTCAGAGATGGAGGAGGCGTCTGGCCCGGGCAGCAGCGCCCCTGGCACCTGCTCACTGGGCCCCATTGCACTAAACTGAAGTTGCTTTTCCTCCACCTCAGAAGGCTCCCTTGTGCCGCACAATCGTCTCCACCCCCACCCTCATCCCGGCGCCCGCTGCACTTCCTGTGGCTCTGGATGCACTTCCTGACGCCCTGCCTCTGGACGTGGACGTGGACGTGGACGTGGGCCAGGCTGCTTTCGCTCACTACGCTGTGAGGTGTTGGACCATCAGTTGCCCGCTTTCTGTTGCCCATTAGGATTTCCTAATAAGGATCAGTGCCCAGCAGCCGCAGTCACTGGGCAGTGCAGACACACTGCACACCCCGAAACGCTGGGACAAAACAAAACAGCCCGGGTCATGTTCCCGGCCACTCAGGTTCAGGTTCGTGCGTTCAGCTTCCTTTGCTTGCCGCTGACCAAACCAAAGGCAACCATGTACTTATGTAAAAGAAAGGAGGATTTATTCAAAGCCAGCTCTGAGGTGGAGGGGCCCATTTGCCTCAAATCACCGTCTCCCCGTGTACAGGTGGGCGAGGGTCCTGTACAGTAAGGGGCAGCAGGGAGGGCGCACAGAGACAGTGCAGACGTCCACGCCTGCGTCACGGCTTCCAGCTTCTCAACTCCTTGTCCCTCTCCTGGGGACAGAAACGGGCTCCTGCCTGTTCTGTCACTGCCTCTGGACTGAGAAGAGGAGGGGGTGTTGGCTATGAACTCAGCAGGAGGAAACTTGAGAAGTTGCTTATCTCTAATAGAGAAGAATCTAATTTTTAAAGTTCTACTTTGCACTGCCAGTTACATACAACTCCCCCTTGGTGCAGTCCGGCCCTCAATCTTGAGCGCCTTGAGGTGCCATGACAACCGGCTGGCGTCTCATGTTGGAGTGACGCGGAGATCCAACCAAGGCAGCTGGAGCATAAGCAAAGGGGCACTTCAGCTGAAAATGCATCACTAAAAACTGGCCGTGGCCGGGGATTTAGCTCAGTGGTGCCACCACCTGCCTCACAAGCACAAGGTCCCAAGTTCGATCTCCGGTACAAAAAAAAAAAAAGAAAGAAAAAATTGAGATCATAAAAACTGGGCAGTCAAATTCAGAAGAAAGCCAGAGCTAGGATTGATCGTTACACCTGCTAGACAGATGGGCTTTTGCTCCTTGGCAGTGCAATCCTGCACACGAAGCCTCTTGCATAACCTCTGCAGCTCTGCTCATTCTGGTAGAGCTGTTGCAGGTAACTCTGCTCTCTGCTCCCCCCCATCTCCGATCGCATTTTCTTCCCTCCTGAAGGTGTTGCCAGTTGGCCATCTGTGGCCCCATCCCTCGATGCAAAGGTAGTGATCCTCAGTGTTCTGTCAGGACACATCCCTCTGGAGGGAACGTGACAGACAGGTGGGATCAATCTCATAAAATCTTTTTTTGTTTTGCCAAAAAATGAGCAATATCAGAGACTCAGAGTGACTCAGGCTGAGGTTATCTAGAGTCCACTGTCAAGTCTACTCTTGTCTATTCTGCAGTTAGCACCCTAAAATATTAGCACTGACAGTCACAAAGCTTATAACCAGACATAAAATACTTCAAGAAAAGCAAAGCAAATCCAGTCTGCACAGTAGACTTGAACCAAGAAACATGGGTCCAAATTAATCAAAGAAAGTCAGTATTTCTGTGAAGCAAGCTTACTTCTCCCAGAGAGGTGTAAGAAGCAAATACTTAGGGTGCCCTGTTCTTGTAAACCAGTGTGGATCACTAGGTGAGAGAGCACACAATTCACTAATGTCAAGACCAAGAATTACAGCTGAGTAACATCTTTAGAATATCTTAGGTACATACACACAGAACAATGTATAAGAACAGATGTAATTTTACTAACCAGAAACATGCTTTTTGATCGAGACTCTGAATGACCAAGAAGAACATGGCTTTTGCCAGTTATACGACTGTAAGCAACGTACAAGGTAGCAATTTGGCAAAAGAAATGAGCTACTTTGACAGCATATTATGATAATAATCATGACTATACTATACCAGGGCAATTATATTTTTAATATAAGACAAATCATAATAGTTTATATAATTAGAACTTTATTTTTAAATTCTATTTTAAAATTTTTTATAAATTTTTTTATTTTATCCCATTACCCCCTCAAGCCTCCTCCTCCCCTCCCTATGTACAAAAGCTTTGTTTCCATTTTTTCCTTCTATTTTCACTTTTTTTCTTGTAACTAGAACTTTTAAAACAAAAATTTAAACAAATATTTAAGTAAATATGAACTTCTTAAGACTTAATTTTTCTAAACATTTAAAACCTAACAAAAAAAGCAGTAGAGAATGCAGGAGGCCAGCTTGAAACTGCACTGAGCAGGCTTTAGAGATTACTGATTTGGGTTATAAATTCAGCTATTGATTAAAATTATGAGTCATTCCAAGGCCTAAATGTGGCTTGCTAAAGAGCCTTTGGCTGGTCACTGACCACGCCAGTGGTCACAACTGAGAGCTCAGTGATTGCTGAGGTTGTGACATCTCAAATAGCAAGGAAACACTACAGCTAAATAATTAAGACTCTGTGCAGCCATTCTCCACAATCAAACGTTAGCTAAGATCACACAGGTGGCTCGTTAGCTGTGACCTGCAGATAGCACGGGTGCTGTGTTAGCTGTGACCCGTTACCAGGACACACGGTCACTCCCTCCACAGTCTGGCTCACTGTGCATCAGGTCTGCTGTTCCCTGCATCTGCCTCACGCCCCTGCTGTGCTGTATGATCATAAATCCTGACTGACCCTGAGCCCAGGGTCTTAGCCAGGACAGAGTGAAGGTCAGTGCCCAGCCCCCCCCCCCACTCCAGTAATAAGCTAGCCTTCTTTATTCTTGATTCCTTGTTCTTTGTACATTATTCTGTCATGCCCTGCAGTGACCTCATCAGGTGGTCGGGCATCCCAACTAACTGGTCAGGCTATCAACCCAAGAGAACACAAATTATTCTGGCAAAGTGAAACCTTTTCTGTTACACTTCTCATTGTTGATCCCTCCATTCTATTTTTATAGAGGGGAATGAGCAGCAGGATTTCTGATCTAGCTGCTTCCTGCTAAATAGGGGCAAAGCCTGGGGAATCTTGGAATGGAAAGTTTTGACCTGACAATTCTGTCTTCCTTTTGAGGGAGGTTGGTTGGAGTCTTGGTCCTGGTAGCCAATTTGGAGGCCTGCTTATATCTTTCTTGTAATACAATAGAATGCACTTCACCCCCAAGTAGATTTCTGCTGTTATTATTATGGGTGTGAAGCCTGATTTTAAGACTTCAAAGACAAGCTTGATCTTGGGTGTTATTTACCCGAGGCCCCCTCAAAGGAAGGTTGAGATTTTAACATGGCGCTGAATGCCTGGTTTCCTGTTCCCAATATCCTGAGCAAAGAGGGGCCAGGGAAGAGGCACACTAAGAAACTTTCCCGATCCTATGGCAAACGAGGTGTGGGTTGAGGGGCTGAGTCCTGTGTCAGGTATTCCTGTTGGAGCACTGCCCAGCCGAACAGATGCTCAGAGAAAAACAAAGGGCTGGCCGTTTCCGAAGCACTCTGTCCTTCTCTTTTACATAAATACCTAAGGTCTTCCACTGGCATGAAGGACTAGGCAGGATCGAAGGATGGCCAGAGACGTCTGGGTTCCTACAGGTTTCCAGCACGGCCAGAATTCTCCAGGCTGGGATGGAAGTGTTCATCAGGGGAATGGAGAACCTGGAGACAGCAAACTGATGCCAAGCAGTTAATATCAACTTAACTGTTGCTCACTGTTTAATTTTAGCTTTTTTTCCTGATTCAAAGTGTGGGGCACCTTCATTGGGGCTAGAAAGGGTTTTCCATACATAATTTCAAAAGGGCTTCACCTGGCCACTTCTGGATACTGCTGTAATTCGGAGCAGGGGAATAGGCAAGACTTTATCCAGCTTAAATTGATACAAGGCAGCAAGTAATCCAAATAAGCAAAAATAATCCAAACAAGGGAAATATTATAACTCCCAACCTGCTAGATATCCGAAACATGAGTAGGAGTCTCTAAAATCAAAGAATGAATTATAGGAACAATGGCAGTTAAGAGTTGGAAAAACTTACTGAGAGAAAGATAGCGTCTGTCTAAGAGAGACAGAAGGGGGACCAGAAAGTGGGTTGCCCGCCCACCTCACTTCTCAAAGGTGGTTTTTTCATAGGGCAAAGCCACGAGGTGAGGCAGG